TCGTCGGCTGTCTGATGGCCGCGGGCTGGTACAGCCACAGCCTCCTCCGCGCTGCCCACCAGGGGCCCGGGGCGCAGGGGTCGCGAGGCGTTTGTTCCTCTCACGGAGCATTCAGAAACACAACACGTATTCGCGGCCCGACATGGCCTTGATCTGGGGGCCGAAATTGCGCGTCTCTCTGCCAAGTAAATCGCTCGAGGTGCGGCGGCGGCAGCAGCGTGGTTTGGAACAAGGCTCGACCGAAAAGACACGCGGACTTGCGGAGAAGATCCCCCTTCCCCCACCTCCCCTTTTGTCCGCCTGCTTTTTCACGTTTGCCCCGACGCGGGTCCGGTGCGGAGCGTTCCCACGGTGCGAAGGAGGGCGATGGCCAGGGCCATACACAGATAGACTTTGGCGCAGGGGCCCTTTGCACCCGCCGAGGCGCGGGAGGCCAGGGCGTATCGACGGGCGACGCGGAGCAGGAGAACGGGGCCGTCGTGCTCCATTATTCACCCGAGAGCCCGCCGCGGCCGTCGGGCCAGTGTCCTCCACTGCGTCCACGCGAGCTTACGTGGGGGCGGCGTCCACCCACTCATTTACCTCGGCGTGTTTTTGTTTTGCCCTTTTTACGGTTTTCTTTTCAATTTTTTGCACTGTGTCGCGTCATTTATGTATATTCCTCCCGGGCTGTCTCTTGCACCTGGGCCGCCAGGGCTGAGCCGCTCCCCCCTCCCCCCGGGCTGCACTCTCTTGCACCCTCCGCCTCCTTCCTTCGACCGCGCTGGGCTCGGGGCGCACCGCACCGCCGCGTCCTCCCCTCGCGAGGCGAGCCGAGCCGAGGCGCGGCGGGGCGCGGCGGGCCAGAGGGGAGGAGGCCAACCTTGAATGAATAGGGAGCTCGCCTCCCTTCCCTCCTTGAAGCAGCTGCACGTCAATCTACTCGGGCGCTCTGGACGGGCGGTCGGACGGACGGACGGGCCTTTTAATCAGCAGCACTATACAGTGCGCGCCGCTGACGGCGCTGCGCGTCCTCGTCGCCCCGGGGAGGCGCAGTCAACGCTGCTGCGTCCTCGCGCTGTATTGGGCGCCCCCTTCCCTGTTCGATTGGCTTGTTTGCTTGCTCAGCTGCTGCGACGCATTGGGACCCCGCGGCCCCGCGGTCTCCTCTGCCCCCCGCAGCTGCATAGCGGGAGCCGCCAAACCCGAACGCGGGTTGGGGGCGCCGTCGCGCCGTCGCGGAGGGCGACTTGCTTCTCGTCCACCTCGGTGACCCTCGGCGCGGCGGAGTCAATCAGGCCTGCTTGTGCCGCCGCCATTGTCCCCCAGCCGGTCCCGCTACGGCTGCATGAAGCTGCGCGGCGCCAGCCTTGCGCCAGCAGCGCCCCGAGGGCCCCGCAGCCGAGCCCGCAGCGCAGCGCGGCCTCACTCGCGATGCCTACTTTGTGCTCGTCTCTTTTTCATTCAACTTCTCCCTAACGGCCCGGTGCGGTGCAGCGCGGTGCGGTCCTGGATCACGATCTTCCGTGTCGCTCTCGGCCGATTGGCTGCCAATGAGCGCGGCGTGGGGTGCCGTGGCGCGCGGCGCTCGCTCCCCCACAGTGTCGCGTTTCCCGCAGCGCCTCCGCTCCGCAGCGGTAACCAATCGCTCGATCGGCTCTGGTGGCGGCGGCGCAAGATCTTGGCAGCGTCCTCACCGCGTGGTTTGGAAAGCAGGAAGAAGCTGCAGCGCGGTTCGTGCGTAACCAAACCACCCCGCCCGCAGCAGCGGCGGAGCTGTATGCCGTGGGCGGGGGCGGGCTGCACCGATGACCCTTGCCGGGGCCAGGGGGTGGGTGTGGGCGTGGGCGCAGGGCCCAGCGGGCTGTGCCCGGTCCCGCTCCGCACCGCGCTGCGCTCCACCGCGCCGTTTCACGAGGTGCCCGGTCGCGTCGTGGAGCAGTCATCGGCCACCTCCGCCCTCCCTCCTCCTTGCCCTGTCCGTCTTTGTTCTCGGAGTCACGAC